GAGTCTCATAACCCAGCTCTTCCAGCTGACAAATTCAGAGGCTTTAACTACTGAACTATCAGACCTCTGAGTACTTTATTTATAAATTATACTTTTATATTTTATAAGTTATAGAGTGGTTAGTGCCACTTTATAATGCCTTGGTAAGACCACATTTGAAATATTGTATCCAGCTTCGATCACCATGAAATAAAAAAGATGTTGAGAATGCAGAAGAGACTAACAAAAATGATTACGAGACTGGAGGCTAAAACATTTGAAGATAAATGGCAGGAATTAGGTTTAGTGAAAAAAAGAACTAGGATGATATGATAGCAATGTTCCAGTATTTGAGGGCTACCACAAAGAAGGGAGGATCAACCTATTCTCCAAAAGAACCTGAAAGCAGGACAAGAAGCAATGGATAGAAACTTATGAAGGAGAGAACCTACCTAGAACTAAGGAGAAATTTCCTGACAGTAAGAACAATTAACTAGTGGAACAACTTACCTGCAGAAATTGTGGGTGCTCCATCACTGGAAATTTTTAAGAAGAGATTGGACAGCCATTTGTCTGAAATAGTATAGTCTGCTTGATCAGAGGCATGGATTAGAAGACCTCCAAGGTCCCTTCCAACTCTGTTATTCTGTTAATAAAAGTTAAAAGTCAGGAAAGCTGAGGATATTATTCAGAAGAAGGCCACCCAGCCCATATTTAGGCTTTCTCAATACTTTATGTGTCAAAATATCTGACAGATATTAACATGGAGATTCTCTAAATATGTATCTAAGTAAATTGAAGTTATACGTGTTTTATTACTCATTCTATAGCCCAAATCTGCAAAGATGGATATATATGAGAATTTAAGAAATATCAGGCAAGCCAAACACATATTAATAGTTTCCATTGATACTTGTATTTTCAGGATATTTTCAGGATATATTTTCACATGCTATATATAATATAGTATTTTGTACTATATTCATATTTCTGAATGTAATGTAAATATATTAGTAATTATTTTTTAAAAAATGCACAAATTATCATCAGCACATAATAACAAGTTAAATTCTAACTATACCCAAAATATCCTTCGGGTATAGATCAATATTTCCAATATCAAAATAACGAAATCATGGTATTCTTTAACAAGTTCCATAAAGCATCTTAATAAGTGATTAACAATTATAAGTACAATAACTCTCATTAAATTTAGTGATGTAGTAATTGAGATTGTTCCATATGCCCTACTGGAAATACTTAAAAAGAGAAGATATTCTAGAAATACTAGACTTTTAACATCTAGTCTTGAAGAAAAAATATTACCGTATATGCCGGCGTATTAGGCGACCCGGCGTATAAGACGACCCCTGTCTTTATCGCCGAGCCGCATTCCTAGAACGTCATCTTATATGCCGGAAACTACCAGTATTTCCGGCGTATAAGACAACTCGGCGTATAAGACGACCCCCGTCTTTGGCGCCGAGTTTAGCGCTTCCGGAAGTCGTCTTATACGCCAGCATATACGGTAAGTATAGATGAAATCAAATCAAAATCTAAGGGACTGGTTTAGACAAAACTCAGCAGCATTTTTTCGCACGGCTGATAAAAACAGGATTGCCAACATGATCACCAACATCCGATAACGGATATAGCACAAGAAGAAGAAGAATAGATGATGGATACAGATAGATACAGAAGGATCTGGACAGACTTGAACACTGGGCACTAACTAACAAAATGAAATTCAATGGTGAAAAAAGCAAGGTTCTACATTTAGGCAAGAAAAACCAATGCACAAGTACAGCATAGGTGGCACCATGCTCAATAGTAGTAACTGTGAGAGGGACCTCGGAGTCCTAGTAGACAATCACTTAAATACGAGCCAGCAGTGTGCTGCAGCTGCCAAAAAGGCCAACACAGTGCTAGGCTGCATTAACAGAGGGATAGAATCAAGATCACGTGAAGTATTAATACCACTCTTTAATGCCTTGGTAAGGCCACACTTGGAATACTGCATTCAGTTTTGGTCACCACGATGTAAAAAAGATGTTGAGACTCTAGAAAGAGTACAGAGAAGAGCAACAAAGATGATTAGGGGACTGGAGGCTAAAACATATAAGGAACGGTTGCTAGAATTGGGTATGTCTAGTTTAATGAAGAGAAGGACAAGGGGGGACATGATAGCAGTGTTCCAATATCTCAGGGGCTGCCATAAAGAAGAGGGAATTAAGGTATTTTCCAAAGCACCTGAAGGCAGGACACGAAGCAACGGGTGGAAACTAATCAAGGAGAGAAGCAACCTAGAACTAAGGAGAAACTTCCTGACAGTTAGAACAATTAATGAGTGGAACAGCTTGCCTCCAGAAGCAGTAAATGCTCCAACACTGGAAGTTTTTAAGAAGAGACTGGACAGCCATTTGTTTGAAATGGTGTAGGGTTTCCTGCCTGAGCAGGGGGGTTGGACTAGATGACCTCCAAGGTCCTTCCAACTTTATTATTATCGATCATCGCACAGTCAGCCAGATGTTCAGACTGGATTTGGCATTTTGTCTACCTATCGAGTCCTTACCCAGGACCTGGGATAGGCAGATGTGGATGTTTGATGGTATTACAGATATCGTCGCAGGATGGAAGCAGTTCCTAATAAGGCCGCCTTTTGCAATTGACTAATTATTATTATTATTATTATTATTATTATAGATGAAATATTCTACTTGGAAGTCTTCTTGGCATCAAAAATTGATCAAACAGCTGCTCTTTCTTCATCAATTAATCTAATATCAGGCATTGTGAATCATATATTTTCAACTAGCATCAATAGCCTTAACTATCTATTCAGAAAAAGATAATTACAGACTGAACAAAGAAAAACAATTGCTTCAATCTGTACTCCAAATGTTAATATAACCAAATTTCCTCTACCTCGCAAAAAATTCCAAATATTTCTTGAAATTGCAGGAGAGATATTTTAATTTGTGGAGATATGAACAGGTGTTCGTCTTTGAATTTAGATAAACATGAACCATTCAAATGTGGAATTTGTACTTTTCATCTGTACAGATTAATCCAACACTTTTAAGATTAACAAAATAAACAATTGCTAAGGAAATTTAACAATTTGCTACAAAAAGATATTAAACTTAAGTGTCATCTGAAAAGCTTCTTACAAACAAATTAATTCCTTCTACCATTTTAATAGTAGAAGGGGTTTCAGCCAAACCATTTATTGCATGACTTATATTCTTTAGCATCAACTAGAAGAAAGCTATGCAAAACTAAACAACACATTGAAGAATGAACTGAAGTAATTAGAAGTGAAACAATTAGAAGTAACTTTGGATCCTCTGTTGGACATAGAAAAAGGATAAACTATTTATAAAAATTGGATGTAGTAAAATAATTAATACAAGAAATTTAATTTTTCTAAACAGAAATATTTTTAAAAAGCATTTTTTCAAAACTATTTTTTTAAATACATACAGATGGTTTAGTTTTTCCTTTTTCCCCAGCTCAATAAATTTACCAATGGCTTTCAGATCAGAACATTTTAATGTACTTGTATGTGGGAGGGAAGATATGGATAGGGAGCCAAATATAGAGGAAAATATTTTTTTCCATATTGTTGCCAAAGATGCCTTATTGAAAATTCAAACAAGAATTTTAGCATTGGATTGGATCTCATTTTTGTATGAAAGTGGAAACTAATCTGTGTTTCTGTCTCTAATCCGTAGCCAAATTGCATTGGATAAACTGCCATATGAATTTTTCCATAAATAGCACTGGATTTTCATAATCTCCTTCTTTTGCATTAAATCCATATTCAAGAATCAAAAATTATTTCTGTGTAGCAAACTTTGTATAAAACCATTTTGTCTTGCACACCCTCCACTTCTTAATATAATTTTTTATTTTCAAGTTTATTGGTTTATTTTTTCATAAGAGTCATTTATTATTTATAAGATAACGTTTCCATTACCTAAACAGATTATAAATAGTGGCATCTGCAAGAAGAAAGAAATAAGTTAAGTTGGTTGTTGCAATCACATGATCAAAATCCGATCCTCTTTTTATATTTATATATATCTGTAGAAGATATTTTTCCCTCATTAAGATCAAATAAGTCTTAAACATTTCCTGGTTTTATACAAAATATAATCTTTTTCTGTTGTTAAATATTGAAAAAAAGTGGCATAGTTTCATCCTAAAGTCTGTTCCCTTTAAAAATAATCCATCCTTAATCAATTTTATATTGTAATAAATAAATGTATATTTTATTTTCCACTAGATGGAGGTATTACACAGTTTTGTTCACCAAGCACAGAGCAGTAGTTTTGTGGTCTTTCATTGAGAAGTGAATGACAGATTTGAAAAGTTTCAATTCTAAATTATTCCTTCTGCCCACTTATCCAGGAAATTAAATATTGCAGGAGTAATCTCTGTGATATATTGCTTTCCTCTCTCACATTCATTTTAAACTTGTTACCAGATTCTACTGGCTTCCAAAATGATCAGTTAGGCTTAATCCATGCTTTATAACAAAGGGACCAATGTATATCTTTGAACATAATTGAGATTGTTATTTACATGAAGAAGTTAGAAATGTTTCAAGAGCTTCAGTTTCCTAGTATGATTCTTGGCAATGCTATGAAGTACAATTTCCATATAAAAATTCTCCATTACCATTTCTGTAATAGTTTGAAAAAATATATTAAGAACATATGTCCCTATGGACATTTTTTTTAAAAAAATAAATAAAGACATGATAGAAAGTATTCATTCATCTGTAATAAATTACAGATTTTTTTCACATTTCACAAGTTTATGACACCTGATATTAGTCAGTTTGAGGGTGGACAGTAAATATTGGCTGCTACTGCTATATTTTTTTATAAGTTTATAGATTTTTCACAAGACAGAGCAATCTGTACCTCATGTAATGCTACAATATAGTGTTGCTTAATCTTTCAAATATATTGTTAGTCCTATCGCTCACCTTTTATTTTTAATTTTTGCCACAGAGAAGGGCATTAAGAACAGCCTCTGAAAAACTCAGGAATCGTTCCTCTTTTTCTACAAATGTTATATATAACACTCCTGGAACCCGAGTTAACCGGTATATCAGCCGCTTAATAGAGGCTCGGCAAACTGAATCAGAAATGGCAGATCTAAACTTTTTTACTCTAAGGTATAAGCAGATAGAACGTGAGCAAAAGGTAGGTAAGACTTTTCTTAAAGATGGGTTGCATTTTTTTGTAAATGCAAGATTTAGCCTTCCAAACCTGAGGTCCTCGAGATATTTTTCACAGTGTTCTTCATCTGAAAGAAACAGAAATGAAGAAAGTACTTTCAGGAAAGGGTTGGCTTTATTCATCACAGACTTATTATTTTTCATCATGTGGTTTTAGGTAGAATAGTAAATCTTGCCTTGGTGTTACAGCAATGAGGGAATATAATCTTTGTGTTTGTAATCTCTAGAGTCTCTTCCTTCTTTCTTTATATGTAAGGAGAAAGCAAATAAAATGTACCTTTGTGATATCAGATAGTTGTTGTCTTGCCTGACTATAGGATCCTAGTTTCTTCCTTAAATTATCAGGATATTGTGACCTTTTCATAATTTTAGATCAAAATGCTCCTATTTTGCAAAAAATATTGAAAGAAACTTGAAGCATTGTTCATATTAACACTTCATGTTTCAATATTTTTATTTGGAGAAAATCAACATACAACAAATACATACTCTTTTTTCTTTATTCAATTAATATTTGGCAGTTCTCCCTACAACTGTTTAATCACTTTTGTTTTTACTAGCTACTGCTACTAAGTTGTGATATTGTTTGTTGGGACTGGCTTTGATTGAAAATCAATTATGTAGTATTTTGTGAGAGTGTTTCACAAACAAATTGCAGTGATAAACAAAGAACACAGTTTGTGATAAAATAGGTTTGGCTTTATTCTAGATAAACAATTTCAACAAGAAAAAAAAAGATTTTATTTTCTTTTGGGCAAAGGATATCAATATTTTTCATGATTTCATTAAGAAATCAGAGAGATTTCTTATAAATGCAAGAAATCCTCTTCAAGCTGAACTTTTTCTCCTAGTTTCAGAAATAAATTTGTCTTCCCCACTGAGTTATTTCCCATAGATCATTTCTTCCTTAGAATTATTGAACCTTTATTCAGCTGTCTTTTTCAATAGCTTTGAATGAATTATAATATTTGACCTGCTTAAAAATGTATAAATCCTAGCTTTGTAGAAGGTCTCTAAAATCAGTTTGGATAACTATAATTAGAAAAGTCTGGTCCTAAAGGAAAGTTATTAATAACAGTTAATAAAATATTAATACTTCTAATATAATAAAAATGATGAGAGCTTTGGGTGGAAATGAAGGCTACTATGTTAGCACTTCTGAGACCTGAGATAACTGCAAAGATAACATTCCACCCTTCCTTCCCAGTCTGAGGTGTAAAGGCTAGGGCTTTCCTTTGTTGTTTTCATAATAGCAGACAACTTTATTTCAAGGATAGCACACATTTATCTAGGATTTTTTCCTTCTTTTCCTGATTCCAAGATAAGGAGTGATGGAAAGACTTATTCTGATTTGCAAAGTATTCTGAAGTTTAGAAGAGGATTTCCCCCCAATTCTGGGCTAACTGTAAATATTTAAAATGAAATATGTAATTGGCAAATTTTAGGATTTAAAATCTTTTTTTGTACTTCATTTTTAGCATAGTTGTTTGTGTCTTCAGAATCACAAAATGCAAAGCAAATGGTTAACTAAATCTGTCTCTCTCCTTCTCTATTTCATTCACAGTATCACCAACTTCAGGATGAATATTTCACCAGTTCTGTAGTTTTGTCACTGATTCTAGCTGCCTTATTTGGCCTTGTCTACCTTTTAATAATACCACAGTAAGTTACCTTGTTTCCAATAATTTAAATGCTAAGTGCATTTATACTGGTATATAAGTATTTTGAATGTACTTTGTATTCATTAAAAGTGTCTACTTCTTAAATTATATCCAACATGCTAAAAAAAAACCTCAATTAATGTCTTTTAACTATGAAAATTTTCCATTGCTCTTTACTGAAGTTTTTGGGAACAAACCCAGTGCAATGGATTGCTTGTGGAAAAACAAATCTTGTAGGTAGTGCTTTCTTTTGTAAAAAAAAAAAAAAAGGTGCCGGAACTCACACATATCATGCAACCCACCTTGTCTACCCTACAAAGTTCCATCCAAAAAAGGTGCCGGAACTCTGTTCTGGGCGTTCTATGACAAGAAAAAGCCCTGCTTGTAGAAAGTAATAAAACACAAACAATTCTATATTCATTCATAATAAAAAGCAAATTTGTTGCAAGAGATATTTGGAGGGGTTATATGTTGATGTAAAACATTATTTGATTATGGTAATTGAAATTGATAAAGTTTTAATAAACAGGTTTAGTAGTAATAGAAATTTAGGATAGAAATGAAATATATTAAATTTATTATGTTACTTGAGGGAAATAGAGAGATTATAGCGAATGTATTAAGTTGAGTTGTTATTGTGTGATTTTATGTTGGAATCTGTGTTTACCCAAACACCACAGTGTGTCTTAAATACTTTTTGTTAAAACTATAAAACTAATAAAATATATTTTAAAAAAAATAAAAAGCAAATTTGCTTTTGTTCCTACTTTCTAGAAATATTTAATTAGGAAAATTTAACAGAGCTATATCTGCATTCATGGCATTTCTAAAGCTGCTGGAAATTTAAGAGCCAAAGATTCAGTGTATTAGTGTACAGAAAATCCAAGGGTTAAGCAGATTATATATAAATTGTGTATCATAATATCATTTACTTTTTATCCCTCTAATACAATCATATGGTGTCCTAATTAGGAATGGATAGAATTCTTTCTTTAGGGAAAAGAATAGCTCATTGAAGTTTTTTAAATATTTGTTACAGTGAGAGTTAGCACAAACTCATCCAAAGGCTATTTTTTTCATTTCTTTAAAAGAGGTAGTATCATTTATTTTACCTATTTCTTTCTGCTGAAATATAAAAGCAGCTGAAATTCAACATTGTTAAATTCATTTATCAAATAATGTAAACTGAAAGTCCTAACTATATATGATAATTATAGCTTCTTTCTGACAGAAAGAGTGGTTAATGACTTACCTGAGTTTGGAAGAAATGCTTCCACATTTTGCTAAGGGCTTTCTAAAGAAATTAAATTAATGCTTTAAGAAATTAATTTATTCCAGAAAAGTTAACCAGAAAGTAAGAAAGCATACTACTGTACACTTTGTTTTGTCTAGTGTATATGTAAAAGAAATCTCAGTATTAAATCAAATCTAATGTATTTATGTAGAGTTACTATTAAAGCCATCAGCCAGAATGAAGGAAGTAGAAAGCAAAGACAATACATATACATCTTACAGGCGCCAGATAACGGTGGGCACACTATTAAGCTAGTCCACAATCTGTCCTCCAAACCCCTGACCCAGGAACAAATTTCCCTCTTAGAACGGGATGCAGGCCACAACCTGATAGACACACGGGCAATTGACTTTGTGGCGTCTTTAGAGCTTACCATCCAACACATGGAAGCCAATGATGAGGTCAGAAACACAATCAGACAGTGGGTTACTGGCCTGCTGACAGGCCAGTAACCCACCCTAAATGGTGTCAGGTGCTCCCTAGAGAGGAGGAAGAGGCCCTGGAACAACTAAAAAAGGACAACACTATTGTTATACTCCCAACTGACAAGGGCAGGGCAACTGTGCTTATGGACAGATCAGCGTATTTTGACAAAGCCCAGGCATTACTTAATGACACTACAGCCTACAGAGTAATCACTAAAAATCCAATGACAACACACATAAACCGCATCAATAAGGTACTTAGCAACCTCAAACATCGGGGTAAAATCAACGATGACACATTGACGACGATACGTCCCAGCGACGCGGCCATGGCTAGGTTCTATGGTCTCCCGAAGGTACACAAAGAGGAGGTCCCCCTATGACCTATTGTGTCTTTCAGGGACACACCCACTTCAGGACTAGCCAAATGGCTTAGCGGTCGCATCAGCCACTTGGTTGATAACAATGAGACCACTGTGAAATCGGCTGAGGAGTTTCTGGAGAGAGTAAAGCCCCTAAGGATAGAGAAAGATGATATCATTTGACGTTACCTCACTCTTTACCTCTATCCCCCAAGATCTGGCGGTCATGGCAATAAGGGACCTCCTACAAGAGGGGCCTGAACAACATAAGGATTTTCTCCATACCAATGATTTAATACAGTTGCTAACCCTATGCCTGAAGATATATTTCACCTTTCGGGGCATGGTATACAAACAAATAAAAGGGACGCCAATGGGATCCCCCATCTCAGGCATTATTGCTGAGGCAGTTCTTCAGCAGCTAGAGTCAATAGTAATGTCTAGGTGCCGCCCAAAATTTTGGGCACGCTATGTAGATGATACTTTTGCGATTGTCAAAAGACAGGATAGCGCCAAATTCTTGGAGGAACTGAACTCAGTATATCCAGACATTGTTTTACCGCAGAAGAAGAGATCCAAGGCAGTCTTGCCTTTCTGGATGTACTGATCAGCCGACGCCCTAATGGCACATTGTGCACGTCTCTATATCGCAAATCCACCCATACAGACAGAATGCTACATTATAATAGCAACCACCCGGTAGCACATAAAATCAGCTGCATCCGGACGCTGTTTAAATGGGTTAATTCCCATTGTAGCACGGGCAGAGCTAAAGCCGAGGAGAAAAAACATCTCCATCACATCTTCGTGCGTAATGGCTATCCCATGGGGTTTGTGAGACAGTATAGTAGACCACATCGAAATTATAGAGACTCACGCTCCAATGTGACAGCAATGCCAGCCACACGAACAATCCTCCCTTACATTCATGGTGTCTCTGAGGCCACAGCATGGCTGTTGGCCCCCTACAATGTGAGCATTGCCCACAGGCCCGAGCACACCCTTAGGTCCAAGGTCATGCATCCAAAAGAACTGCTCCCCAATGGTCAAAGATCATCTGTGGTTTACAGAATTAATTGCACGGACTATGCAAGCAATTACGCTGGGGAAACCACTAAAAGACTGAGGACCAGGGTTCATGAACATGAACTGGCTATTAGAAGGCAGGAGCAATGCTTACAAGTATGGGCCCATACGTCCAGCTCTGGCCACACTTTCAATCTAGCTAACACAGAGGTTATAGCTCGTGAGACTACCAAGGCTGCCCGCCTACTCAAGGAAGCCTAGCTCTCTAATGAAAATTCCATCAATCAGCATATAGACCTTGTGTCGGCCTACCAGACACTTAGGAGATGGGAACAACAGCACCACGGCCTACTGAGAAGACATTTAACTCTTTCTTGGCAGTATTGGAGTAGTAGAATGATGGATGAGAAGATGACAGCATTTTACATAATTAGGATGATGGCTCCATAGATGGGACGACCACGACTCACATGGACCAAGATGATGGACCAAAGGGCCTTAAGCCAGGGACAGAAGCACTGAGGCGATCTGGAAGGAGGGGGAGAGAGGGGGAAGACAGAGCAGGAATGCCAGAATAGCTGCTTGTTCCAGGACTGGGGTAGAGGAATTACTACAATGGCCTTGGGGGTGGGGGAGGATAATGGCCCTGAGAGGGAGGGGGACTGGGTGCATGGACGGATTGACAGCCATCCTCCAAGTGCTTGCACATGCTCAAAAAGAGCACTTGAGGATCGTAAAACAACCATTGGACGTCTATCGGCACAATCCCTGGCAGTTGCATTCCTGCACACATTCCTCCACCCAGGGACGCTGTTTTCCTCCTCAGGTGTCCGTGAGTATGCTGTACTGCTTCTAGTTGTCCCCCTCCTCTTGAGGCTCCTCATTACTTGCTCGCACATTGGGTTCATCAGTTCTTTTGCTCTTTTTGCACACGTGCGGGGCTTCACCACATCACTTTCCATCATAGGTCTGTTTTCCTTTCCTATTCACATCAGTAGGATAACCCATCTCTCCCCTCATGTTGGCGGGCATCGTGAAGCAGGTGTCCCTGCTATCATCCAACCCCCTTTGTTGTTCACCTCTATCGTTGTTTCCCCTTTTTATGGGGTGAGTTGAAATACGCTTATCTGGGATACCTGGGGGGGGGAGATGTTTCTTGTTCCTTCTCTGTTTTTATAGGTTCTTTATCCTGTGGATGCGTTATCTCCTCTATTATTTCTTCCCTCTGATTTTGTGAGGGATGTGCCAATTGTCTTTGTTGTGGATTCAAGTGTTGTTGTTCCCATATCTTAAATGTTTGGTATGCTGGGCAAAGCTCTATATGGCAATTGATGGAGTCGCCATCAGAAAGCCAGGCTTCTTTAAGTAGATGGCTCCCCCTTAATAGTGTCCCTAGATATGGGCTGTGCACTATTAAGTCAAATTCATGCCCATGATCATTCATGTGGGCCCAAATCTGTGAATGCTGTTCCTTTCTTCTGACCGCTAGTGCATGCTCATGCACCCTAGTTTTTAATCTTTTCGTGGTCTCCCCAACATAGTTACAGGAACAGTCCTTACACTCGATCTTATAAATTATTGCAGATTTTTCTTCATCGGGGAGTGGATCTTTTGGGTGCATGATCTTAGATCGTAGAGTTTGATCTGGTCTATGGGCCACTTTTACATTAAAGGGGGCCAATATTCTAGCTGTTGCCTCTGATACACCATTAATGTATGGGAGGGAGATACGCACGTTTTGTGTTGTCTTGTCAGTTTCTTGCAAGTTTTTGCGGGATCTGTATGGTCTACTGTACTTCCTGATGAATCCAGTGGGGTAACCATTATACTTGCAGGTCTGAAACAGATGATTCCTTTCCTCAATTTTGGTCCTGGTTGTACTGCAGTGGGAATC